AGGCGGCTGGCATGGATGGTGAGCATGAGCCATTAGTAAGAGCTTTGTCTGTTTTTCCCCTTCTGCAGAAAGCAGGGAATTTCCACCAGATTTCAAGAGCAACACACTCAGCAACCACCAGGCGTAGCCTGGGATCAATTGAAAAAGGCAGCTAATGTCATCACGCATGAACTGAGACTGGTAAACAATATGGAGGAATTGATTACACATCAGAAGCTAACATGATTTCAAAGATAGAGAAGACAGAGAAAGAGAGAAGAGCAGCCATGAGCATTAGCCTCAGAGCCTGGAGAGCTTTTTGCTGTACAGACTGTAGTTATAGGTCTGGTCAACAGTAGTAGGTATAGGTCTGGTCAACAGTAGTAGTAGTTATAGGTCTGGTCAACAGTAGTAGTAGTTATAGGTCTGGTCAACAGTAGTAGTAGTTATAGGTCTGGTCAACAGTAGTAGTAGTTATAGGTCTGGTCAACAGTAGTAGTAGTTATAGGTCTGGTCAACAGTAGTAGTAGTTATAGGTCTGGTCAACAGTAGTAGTAGTTATAGGTCTGGTCAACAGTAGTAGTAGTTATAGGTCTGGTCAACAGTAGTAGTTATAGGTCTGGTCAACAGTAGTAGTTATAGGTCTGGTCAACAGTAGTAGTTATAGGTCTGGTCAACAGTAGTAGTAGTTATAGGTCTGGTCAACAGTAGTAGTAGTTATAGGTCTGGTCAACAGTAGCAGTAGTTATAGGTCTGGTCAACAGTAGCAGTAGTTATAGGTCTGGTCAACAGTAGCAGTAGTTATAGGTCTGGTCAACAGTAGTAGTAGTTATAGGTCTGGTCAACAGTAGTAGTAGTTATAGGTCTGGTCAACAGTGGTAGTAGTTATAGGTCTGGTCAACAGTAGTAGTAGTTATAAGTCTGGTCAACAGTAGTAGTAGTTATAGGTCTGGTCAACAGTAGTAGTAGTTATAAGTCTGGTCAACAGTAGTAGTAGTTATAAGTCTGGTCAACAGTAGTAGTAGTTATAAGTCTGGTCAACAGTAGTAGTAGTTATAGGTCTGGTCAACAGTAGTAGTAGTTATAGGTCTGGTCAACAGTAGTAGTAGTTATAGGTCTGGTCAACAGTAGTAGTAGTAGTTATAGGTCTGGTCAACAGTAGTAGTAGTTATAGGTCTGGTCAACAGTAGTAGTAGTTATAGGTCTGGTCAACAGTAGTAGTAGTATTTATAGGTCTGGTCAACAGTAGTAGTAGTTATAGGTCTGGTCAACAGTAGTAGTAGTTACATTTCTGGTCTGGAGGCTGAGGCTGAGCACCACAGGCTTGTGAAGGGAGAGGGCACCCAGCAGTTGTGAAGGGAGAGGGCACCCAGCAGACAGTGGTGGAGCCCTAAGAATAGCAGCAGTGTTCCAACAGGGATGGATGGATGGATGGATGGATGGTGGGATAGCCCCAGCCTGTGACCTCAGTACAGCGCCTGGGCTGGCCCTCATCTGGCCCTGGCCCACGGTCGGTCCTGCTTTGACACCACTACTCTTCCTCAAGCGAGTGCCGAGTGGCCTCTTCTATTCCTGTCTCTGGCCCTGGCCCTCACATAGAAATCCAAATAGCGGCAGAACAAGCGGTCCTCTTAGGACTTAGACTGCCCTCTGACCCCCCCCCCCCCCACCACCACTTCATTCCCCTGCTGCTCTGCAGGGCTGAATGGTCTCTCTTTATGTCAGCAGGGTTTATGACCCTGCGCTCCCAGACTGGGACTGATAGGAATCCCCATCAAAGCCTCTCTCAGATAGCGGCGTCACCTCTGGACATGGGGTCCCTGAGTGAGTAGGACCCCCTGGTGGTACCCACCACCGCTGCCTAATAACCCATAAAGCCGTGGAGGGATATTTTCCATAAAGGGGTTGACCAGGGTTGGCCCTGAAATGACCGACCCGCTCAACCCACCACTCACCTCTCTCTCTCTGGGAAGTGACACCTTAGCCTCAGGAAGTAGACCCTCTAGCATACATAAATACAGCCTTACAGCGCTGCAGAGAGAGAGAAAGAGAAAGAGAGGTGTATTGTCAGCCACGGATGTTAATCTCACATCAAACTGAAATAAATCAGCCCTCTATGGCTTTAAATGCATTTCACTGCTGAAATATCTGACAGTCCACTGAATAGCCCCATAGACATTCTCCCCTCTTTGATCGCACACCCACTCTCTTTCTCACACACACAGTGACAGACCTAAATGGACACACACACATTCATACACACTCAATCTAGGACTATTTATAGCCACATGATAGCACAGTGTCTCTTTCTCCCATTGTTTCAGTGGAAGTTTCCTGCTCCATGTATATCGTGGCATCATCTGAAGCAGAGGCAGCGTCGTAGCAGGGGGTTTATGAATGAACACAGCAGTCTCAGCCAGAGGCAGAGAGGTGGCACCGTTCCAGACACTGAGAGTGTGTGAGAGCAGAGGGAGCACTTTGAGGCCTGTGATCAACTCACATTACAGCTCAATGACTCATCCTTCCACTCTCCCTCCACTCCCCTCACCCACCCTACCTCACCCACCCTGCCTTGGCCTGCCGCGCCCCAGCCCCACCACGGTTCCTTAGGGCCATGGCCCCGGCCACAAAATCCCAATTTCACGCCCTCGCTCCGGCGCACAGGCGAAGAAGGCTGCTAATTTGGTTCACGTGTGTCTCCCTCCTCCTCCTGTTCCCCGCTGCTAACAGACTTGGGGGCCAGAGGTGTGGACTGGAACCTTTGTCTGCAGGGAAGGTTAGGAGTGGGGGAAAGGGGATGGTTATTCCAGCACGCACAGCATCCATTCAGTGGGTGTCTCTGGGGACAGATATGATAGTGGCACTCTGCACACCAACCACTCACTGACATTACTCACAGGATGACACCAGAGCAGTGACTAACAATATATTTTACAGTGAAGTGTAATCATTTATAATGTGTCAGACATAATCATATTCAGTTCAGTCTATAGGAGCTTCATGCACCAGGAAATATCATGTTGAAGTTAAAACATGAATGTTATGCAGTTCAGACATACGCACATTGGTTAAATGATAACTAGGACACGTGTCTTTTCTAGGTTTTTAAAACCGCCTGTTTCAGCTGGTGGGCGTCTGAATGATATGAACACCCACCTGCTCACCCAGAGGGAGCTGTGTGTGTCGTTGAGCTGGTTCGGAAGTGCAGACAAACTCCACTCGATCCATCTAAATTAAACTGCAACATTCCCTCAGTTTCTGCCTTTGATAGATATCAAAGCCCAGGCACAGTCTGGCTCTGAGCAAGCCCCATCTCATCTCAGCCAGCGACCGCTCTCCACTAGTGCTATCCAACACTACATAGTTACTCAACAACCAGCCGCCTTGGTGGAGATGGTCAAGATGACTGTGTAGTCAGGGACATGGTGTACACTATACAATCAGGTCTCGTTTTATTTTCATTTCAGAATGCTTTCAGAATCAGAGCCTGTTTTGCTGTGTCATGTCGAGGGCCTTGTCTGACAATAGCCTCTTCAGTCTTTTGCAATATGATACTAAAATAGCATGATACTGTAGAAATGTGTAACCTAGCCAACAAAGTGGAGACTCTAATATGTTGTATAATCAGGACTTCCAAATGGAGAGAGGGAGCATGGTGGCCTAATCGAATCACACACCGGCAGAGTGTTACGGTTCGCTTCCATTTGGGCACTCTGCATAATGTGGTCTGTCAGCTTCCAGCGGTTAGACACAGAGAGAGAGAGCCTTGGGTTCCAGGCAGGCAGTGTTGGTTTACAGTTCCACAGCCCAAAGAGGAGAGACAGCTGTTGTGCATTCCAGACGAAGTCGGGAACGTTGACGAGCGTTGAAAACACGCATGAACTGCATATCGCCAAGGCCTCCCCTTCGCTGGGCTGGCAGATCAAACCAGGGCAGAGATGCCAGAACATCTGGGGCGTCGAGAGACAGCAGAGTGGTGACAAAACGTCTCCAGTCTCCCTCCAGGCCTGCTTGTGATCTGGTAGTTTACCTCACACGGCGAGGGGTGATAGAGACAGAGTGACATACAGCCGTGGTAGTAATTTATGCCTTTCTTTGTTATGAAATGTAGTGTGGTGATTTCTATATTTATTCACAGTAGACTGTCACAGTCATTGTCTGTCTGTCTGTCTCTGTCTATGTCTCTGTCTGTGTTTGTCTCTCTCTCTCTCTTTTCATGTCTTTGTTTTTTCAGACTGTTGCCGTCTTGATCTGAGTAGAGTTTTAGCACTCTAGTCTAGCGCTCCTGCCCTGGGGGCTTTCCCTCTCCTCCTCCCTCCATCCACCCCTCTGTAGCCTAGTAGAGTCTAATTAGATCAGTGCGAGTCATCAGGCACGGTTTAAAGCCATCAAAGAGTGCTCTGTCTCCTGCTGGGGGCACACTGGCTGTGAGGGGAGAACAGTGGGCCTGTGTGTCCGGGACCCCAGAGACACCCCTCACCCTCCATACACCCCCCTCGACCCCCTACCCCCACCCACTCCAGCCTGGCAGGGTTCAGGGTGACATCATCACCTCATCCCTAACCTCTGACCCTTGCCGTTTGACCACCATGGTGTTGGGGTGACAGTAGACCCTCTGTGTGTCAGGGGGGGACATAGTTAGGAGTTCCCAGTGGCCACTGATAGGTATTAGCCCCAACCTGTGAATCCCACCCAGGGTATGACCGGGTCAACAGTGAGAATGGTCTCTGAAAGCCTCTTAAAGCCCTTCTACCTTGTCCATGTGTGAGTCATTCATGTATTATATTGCCAAACAAACAACACTTGGACAACACGGACAGCGGAAGCTGGAGCATGTGTTGTTTGTGTGAACGCGTATGTGACCAATGCGTTTGCGGCAGCTGCCATATAGTATAATTGATTCTCTCCCAAGTTGATACACTGTCTGTCTGGACTGTGTTTGTGTGTGTGTGTGGCCCTGTGTTCTGTGCTCTGTGAGTCTGACTGCTAGTCTCTCTCTATCTCTCCTGTGTGACTGACAGATCTGGAGTGTGGAGATGTGCCCCTGCTCACTCCAGGGAGTAAAGAGATGATGTCTCAGGCTCTGAAGGCCACGTTCAGTGGCTTCACAAAGGAACAGCAACGACTGGGCATTCCCAAAGGTAAGGCACTTAAACAAGGGCTTACTTTCTCTTTCTGGGTCTTTCTCTCTCTTTCTCTCCCTCTCTCTTTTTCTCTTCCTAGCTCTCACTTTTAATGCATATTTTTTAGATTACCCACTGTGACATGTTTCCCAATACACACTCAAAACCTAAACCCATCCTCTCAGTATGACTAAAGATAGCTAAGTGGTGACATTATATACAACATGACAGATTGAGTGTACTGGCTGTCAGACAGATTGTAGGAATCAGAGAAAGCCTGGGTAGAGAGACAGACAGAAATGATTCATTATGGTTCCTCGATTGAGGCATACCACAGGGCTCATCATTTTGGTATTATAGGATGCAGCAGGTCTATGTTGGGTTTCCCCAGTCCAGCCCACCCAACCAGTCTGCAAATAGCTGGGGTTTCACTGACAGTCTATTGTTACTGTCACCACGTATCTGCACCACCTCTCCTCTTACCTCAAATAGCAGCAGCAGGTCTAAAATCGTGACCCACTGAAACTGCTAATGAAAATGAATGTGCTACATAAATGTCTCTGTGGCCTGATAATACCTAATCTCCATTCTAGTTCAGGGGAATGTAGATTAAAACAGTGGAGTGGAGGTATCTTGTGACCATGTATATGACTGTGACCTCAGGTAGCCCTTCAGTGACATGTCCCTCCCTCTCCCCCCATGTCTCTCTCAGACCCCAGGCAGTGGACAGAGAGCCACGTGGGAGAGTGGCTGATGTGGACGGTGAACGAGTTCAGCCTGAAGAGTGTGGACTTCCACAAGTTTTGTATGAACGGGGCCAGTCTGTGTGCTCTGGGGAAGGAACGCTTCCTGGATCTAGCGCCTGACTTTGTGGGCGACATCCTCTGGGAACATCTAGAGATGCTTCAGAAAGGTAGGCCCAGGCTGTAGCATGATGTACTACAGTACCCATATTGCTCTGTACAACATATCAATCAGGGTCGGGCTCAATTCAAATTGAAGGCATTTAAAATTCAGAAATGTCCACATTTTTTATATAAATATTTTTTTGATTATTAAATTGTAATTTCTGTTTACTTCCTGAATTGAATTAAAAATTGAGCCCAACCCTGGTATCAATCACAAGCCTCAGAAATGCCTACTGTACCTATCACATTAGCTGTAGTGTGTATTGAAGCACAGCATTGTCTATCTTTGTGCAAAACGGTTTCAAGTGTTAGCGCTGTTTGCATTTACATTGTAATCTGAGACGAAGAGGAAGACCTCCCTTTCCTCCTGGTCATTAATATTTAATCAGCCAGGCCCAACCATACTGGATGCAGTGTGTTTATGGCTGTTATAGGATACATTAAATCAATGACGGGGTCAGTGACGGTTGATATCTATTTTTCATAAAGAAGACACAAAGCATTTCCCTGTCAACGGCCTGACCTCTACCTTCCAGGAATCCCACTATACCTCAGACTACTTTGTCAGTAAGTATCACTGAGGAGACTATATCCTATGTACTGTACATAGTCTGGCTCTAATGCATCAATGGCTTGTTAATCCCTCTCTCTCTCTCTCCCCCTCGTTCTCTCTCTCCTCCTCCTCCTCCTCCTCCTCCTCCTGTGTTTCTCCAGGCTATGGCATTGAACATGCCCAGTGCGTTCCTCCCTCTGAATACTCCGAGCCGGGCTTCATCACAGAGTCCTACCAGACCCTTCACCCAATCAGCTCCGAGGACCTGCTGTCACTCAAGTACGAGAGCGAATACCCCAACATCCTCCGGGACATGCCCCTCAACCCACTGCAGGGGGACTACTTCTCCGTCAAGCAGGAGGTGGTCTCCCCCGACAACATGTGTGTGGGCCGCATCAGCAGAGGTGAGGGGTCACAGACAAGATGGTGAAGGAAATGGTTGGAAATCAAGGTTTAGTGAAGTGTGGCTGTTACAGCTGCTGTATTTTAGGTGCCCTATCTCAAAGAGGAACAAGTTCACTTGGGTAACTTGGGGCCATAACATGAGTAGGCCTGTAGTCCAAGTCTCAGTTGTGATTAAGACTGAGACTCTGATCAATCCATACAGTATGAATCTATGATAAGTAATTCCACACGGTGTAGACACTTGTGTGAGTCTTGAGGTCTAGTTAATTGTGTTGGGTTTGTGAACATCACTGTGTGCGTGTGATTTTGCTGATGCTCTCCAATCTTGCCCTGCCACATCAGTGCATGTACCATGACAGAAGAAAGGAGGCCCTATGGCTGGCTTGTGGTTCAAGCAAACCCGCCTCGAGGATAAAATAAATACATTGTTTGTGTCAAGAGTGAGAAGTGAACAAAGCCACATGGTTCGTTAGAGCTGTCTGTCCCTATAGCTTTCATGTAAATCAGCCCAAGCAAGGTAACCTTCAAGAACAACCACTTTTTTTCTCTCTCTCAACTTTCTCATCTCTGTTTCTCACATCTCAACCTTGAGGTTGTTCTCAGCAAGGACAGAGTGTCAGAGAGCGTGGGTTTTCTTTCTCATGAACCGCTCTGTTTACTTTATCACATGCACATCTGTTTGCTTTCCCACTGATAGTTTGGAGAAGAATTTACAGTGTGGTTTACATTGATACTAATAAAGCTGGGATTTTCTTCTCAAATCCCCCAGCTGAACAAATGAATAGGGGGTATCAGGGAGTTTACAGTACACAGGCCCATACAGTGGACTGACTGGGTATTCGCCTGCAAGGTATGTCCAGGCCTCATACATAATAAATCACTGGGTTTTTGGCAGCATATTGTGCTTTCTCAATGTGGGAAAGTATTTGTGGCACCACCGAAAACCACATGTGGCTTCAATTTGTGCAATTGAAGATTTCAGCATCAGTCGAGGCACTGGATTATCTTTCATTCTTTAATAGCTCTCAGTTGAAATGGTCCTCTTATCTTTGCAGAGGCCAGAAATAGCAAGGCAATTTGTATTGATCTTCTTCCAATTAGACAAAACCAAATGCCAGTTGCACATGCTAAACTGAGTGTGAAAGGAAGGGACCAAGATCATACATTGCGTCATACAGAACAAAGAAGCTCAGTAAGAGTGTAATTTACTGCCAATGTCTAATGTGTATTCCTGCCATAAATATTGTCCTCTTTCAAATCGTAATGTCCCTGCTCAAAACTATTTACTTTCAGACAATTATATTATCATTCCCTCTCACACTATGAGGCAATACAACTAACAGCTTATGCTCTCCCCCTCTGTGTCTCTCAGGTAAGCTGGGAGGCCAGGACTCGTTTGAGAGCATCGAGAGCTTTGAAAGCTGTGACCGTCTGACCCATTCATGGAGCAGCCAGTCCTCCTTCAGCAGTCTGCAGCGCGTCCCATCCTACGACAGCTTCGACTCCGAAGACTACCCCAGCGCCCTACACGGACACAAGCCCAAGGGAACCTTCAAGGACTACGTCAGGGAGCGCTCAGACCTCAGCAAGGACAAACCTGTCATCCCCGCCGCAGCACTCGCAGGATACACAGGTTAGACGAAATTAATGAATAAATGATATCATCAATAAATCAATCAATAAAATGTATTTTTAAAGCCCTTTTTACATCAGCAGATGTCACAAAGTGCTTATACAGAAACCCAGCCTAAAACCCCAAACAGCAAGCAATGCAGATGTAGAAGCACAGTGGCTAGGAAAAACTCCCTAGAAAGGCAGGAACCTAGGAAGAAACCTAGAGAGGAACCAGGCTCTGAGGGGTGGCCAGTCCTCTTCTGGCTGTGCCGGGTGGAGATTATAAGAGTACATGGCCATTAAGGCCAGATTGTTCTTCAAGATGACCAGCAGGGTCAAATAATAATCACAGGGGATCTAGAGGGTGCAACAGGTCAGCAGCTCATGAGTAAATGTTAGTTGGCTTTTCATAGCCGAGCATTCAGAGGTCAAGACAGCAGGTGCGGTAGAGAGAGAGAGGGAGAGTCGAAAACAGCAGGTCCGGGACAAGGTAGCACATCCGCTCAACAGGTCAGGGTTCCATAGCCGCAGGCAGAACAGTTGAAACTGGAGCAGCAGCACGACCAGGTGGACTGGGGATAGCCAGGAGTCATCAGGCCAGGTAGTCCTGAGGCATGGTCCTAGGGCTCAGGTCCTCCAAGAGGGGAGGGAGAGAGGGAGAGAGAGATAATTAGAGGGAGCATACTTAAATTCACACAGGACACCAGATAAGACAGGAGAATTACACCAGATATAACAGACTGACCCTAGCCCCCGGCACAAAGACTATTGCAGCATAGATACTGGAGGCTGAGACAGGGGGGGTCAGAGTACACCGTGGCCCCGCCCAATGATACCCCCGGACAGGGCCAACCAGGCAGGATATAACCCCACCCACTTTGCCAAAGCACAGTCCCCACACCACTAGAGGGATATCAACAGACTACCAATTTACTACCCTGAGATATGGCTGAGTATAGCCCATGAAGATCTCCTCCACCGCACGAGCCCGTGGGGGAGCAAGACCGGACAGGAAGATCACATCAGTAGCTCAACCCACTCAAGTCGAGTATAGCGCAAAAAAGCCTGGTACGACGTGACGCACCCCTCCTAGAGACAGCATGGAAGAGCACTAGTAAGCCAGTGACTCAGCCCCCGTAATAGCGTCAGAGGCAGATAATCCCAGTGGAGAGAGGGGAGCCGGCCAGGCACAGACAGCAAGGGCGGTTTGTCATTCCAGTGCCTTGCCGTTCACCTTCGCACCCCTGGGCCAGACTACACTCAATCATAGGACCACCTGAAGAGATGAGTCTTTACATCCACTGTGATACATACAGTGGGGGAAAAAGTATTTAGTCAGCCACCAATTGTGCAAGTTCTCCCACTTAAAAAGATGAGAGAGGCCTGTAATTTTCATCATAGGTACACGTCAACTATGACAGACAAAATGAGAAAAAAATATCCAGAAAATCACATTGTAGGATTTTTTATGAATTTATTTGCAAATTATGGTGGAAAATAAGTATTTGGTCACCTACAAACAAGCAAGATTTCTGGCTCTCACAGACCTGTAACTTCTTCTTTAAGAGGTTCCTCTGTCCTCCACTCGTTACCTGTATTAATGGCACCTGTTTGAACTTGTTATCAGTATAAAAGACACCTGTCCACAACCTCAAACAGTCACACTCCAAACTCCACTATGGCCAAGACCAAAGAGCTGTCAAAGGACACCAGAAACAAAATTGTAGACCTGCACCAGGCTGGGAAGACTGAATCTGCAATTGGTAAGCAGCTTGGTTTGAAGAAATCAACTGTGGGAGCAATTATTAGGAAATGGAAGACATACAAGACCACTGATAATCTCCCTCGATCTGGGGCTCCACGCAAGATCTCACCCCGTGGGGTCAAAATGATCACAAGAACGGTGAGCAAAAATCCCAGAACCACACGGTGGGACCTAGTGAATGACCTGCAGAGAGCTGGGACCAAAGTAACAAAGCCTACCATCAGTAACACACTACGCCGCCAGAGACTCAAATCCTGCAGTGCCAGACGTGTCCCCCTGCTTAAGCCAGTACATGTCCAGTGTGTTGCCCAGTGTCTGAAGTTTGCTAGAGTGCATTTGGATGATCCAGAAGAGGATTGGGAGAATGTCATATGGTCAGATGAAACCAAAATAGAACTTTTTGGTAAAAACTCAACTCGTCGTGTTTGGAGGACAAAGAATGCTGAGTTGCATCCAAAGAACACCATACCTACTGTGAAGCATGGGGGTGGAAACATCATGCTTTGGGGCTGTTTTTCTGCAAAGGGACCAGGACGACTGATCCGTGTAAAGGAAAGAATGAATGGGGCCATGTATCATGAGATTTTGAGTGAAAACCTCCTTCCATCAGCAAGGGCATTGAAGATGAAACGTGGCTGGGTCTTTCAGCATGACAATGATCCCAAACACACCGCCCGGGCAACGAAGGAGTGGCTTCGTAAGAAGCATTTCAAGGTCCTGGAGTGGCCTAGCCAGTCTCCAGATCTCAACCCCATAGGAGGGAGTTGAAAGTCTGTGTTGCCCAGTGACAGCCCCAAAACATCACTGCTCTAGAGGAGATCTGCATGGAGGAATGGGCCAAAATACCAACAACAGTGTGTGAAAACCTTGTGAAGACTTACAGAAAATGTTTGACCTGTGTCATTGCCAACAAAGGGTATATAACAAAGTATTGAGAAACTTTTGTTATTGACTAAATACTTATTTTCCACCATAATTTGCAAATAAATTCATTAAAAATCCTACAATGTGATTTTCTGGAGAAAAAAATTCTCATTTTGTCTGTCATAGTTGACGTGTACTTATGATGAATATTACAGGCCTCTCTCATCTTTTTAAGTGGGAGAACTTGCACAATTGGTGGCTGACTAAATACTTTTTTCCCCACTGTATGCACGCACCACTTTTCCGTTATATATTTTTTAGAATTTTTTGAAACAAGTTATTTTTTTCATTTCACTTTACAGGTTGTAAATCAACAAAATAGGAAAAACACCAAGGGGTATGAATACTTTTTCAAGGCACTGTATATAGTGAAAACAATAGTGGTCCTTAAACGGAACCTTAAGGAACACCGAAACGTGCAATTGATTTGTCAGAGGACAAACCATCCACAGAGACAAATGTATATCTTTCCGACAGATAAGTTCAAATTAGGGTTTCAAATCTCTCCAAAATAATGTGGTGATCGATGGTGTCAAAAGTGTCACTAAGCTCTAGGAGCACGAGGACAGATGCAGAGCCTTGGTCTGACGCCATTAAAAGGTAATTTGCCACTTTCATGAGTGCAGTCTCAGTACTATGACGGGGTCTAAAACCAGACTGAAGTGTTTGTTTACATTATTTGTCTAAAGGAAAGCAGTGAATTGCTGCGCCACATCTTTTACAAAATATTTTGTAGAGGAATGGGAGATTCGATATATTTAAAAAAAAGTTTTTTTACATTTTCCGGGTCAAGGTTTGGCTTTTTCAAGAGAGGCTTTATTACTGCCACTTTTAGTAAGTTTGGTATACATCCGGAGGATAGGGAGACGTTTATTATGTTCAACATAGGAGGGCCAAGCACAGGAAGTAGCTCTTTCAGTAGTTTAGTTGGAATAGGGTCCAGTATGCAGCTGTAAGGTTTAGAGGCCATTACTATTTTCGTGAATGTGTCAAGAGATACAGGATTAAAAAACTTGAGTGTCTCCATTGATCCTAGGTTCTGGCAGTTCTGTGCAGACTCAGGACAACTGAGCTTTGGAGAAATACGCAGATTCAAAGAGGAGTCCCTAATTTGCTTTCTAATTATCATTATCTTTTTGTCGAAGTAGTTCTTGAATTCATCACTGCTGAAGGAAAAGCCATCCTCTCTTGGGGAATGCTGCTTTTTAGTTAGCGTTGCGACAGTATCAAAAATACATTTAGGATTGTTCTTGTTCTCCTCAATTAGGATGGAAAAATAGGCTGATCGAGCAGCAATGAGGGCTCTTTGATATTGCACGGTACTGTCTTTCCAAGCTAGTCGGAAGACTTCCAGTTTGGTGGAGGACCATTTCAGTTCCAATTTTCTGGAATCTTGCTTCAGGGCTTAGGTATTTTATGTATACCAGGGAGCTAATTTCTTGTGACTAATGCTTTTTGTTTTTAGTGGTAAGACTGCATCTAGGGTATAACGCAAGGTTACATGTTGATCCTCAGTTAGGTGGTTAACAGATGTTTGTACTCCGACGTCCTTGGGTAGGTGGAAGAAGTCTGGAAGGACATCCAGGAATCTTTGGGTTGTCCGAGAATTCATAGCACAGCTTTTGATAATCCTTGGTTGGGGTCTGAGCATATTATTTGTTGCGATTGCAAACGTAATAAAATAGTGGTACAATAGTCCAGGATTATGAGAAAAAACATTTAGATCCACAATATTTATTCCACTGGACAAAACTAGATCCAGGGTATGGCTGTGGCAATACGTAGGTCCAGAGACATGTTGTACAATACCCACTGAGTTGATGATTGCTCCGAAAGCCTTTTGGAGTGGATCTGTGGACTTTTCCATGTGAATATTGAAATCGCCAAAAATTTGAATATTATCTGCCATGACTACAAGGTCCGATAGGAATTCAGGGAACTCAGTGAGGAACGCTGTATACGGCCCAGGTGGTCTGTAAAAAGTAACTATAAAAGTGATTGAGTAGGTTGCATAGATTTCATAATTAGAAGCTCAAAAGACGAAAATGCAGTCTTTTATTAATTTTTTGTTGAAATTTGCTGTCGTAAATGTTAGCAATACCTCTGCCTTTGCGGGATGCGCGGGGGATATGGTCACTAGTGTAACCAAGAGGAGAGGCCTCATTTCACACAGTAAATTCATCAGGCTTGAGCCATGTTTGTCAGGCCAATCACACCAAGCTTATGATCAGTGATTAGTTCATTGACTATGACTGCCTTGGAAGTGAGGGATCTAACATTAAGTAGCCATATT